ACATAGTCTTGATTCCCAAATGTCCGGGCGCCGTGACTCCATCCTCCTTCCGCCCGGTCTCTCTCCAGAATTGCCCGGTCAAGGTACTCACGACAAGGCTGCAAGTGCAAATCCAGAAATTGATCGATGTCGATCAAACAAGGTTCATCAGAGGCCGGTCCATATCAGAAAATTTTATCTACGCCATAGAGCTTATTCAGTGCTGCTATCAGAGGAAGGCCCCTACTTTGGTCCTCAAACTGGACTTTTGCAAAAGCCTTTGATTCAGTGGATTGGGATTGTCTTGAAGCGGTCCTGCAGTGCCGAGGCTTCCCCAACCGATGGTGTGAGTGGATTCAAGCACTCCTAAAGTCTTCACGCTCGGCGGTGCTGGTGAATGGCTGCCCAAGTCCATGGATCTCGTGCAAGAGAGGACTAAGGCAGGGAGACCCCCTCTCCCCCTACCTCTTCCTGATCGTGGCCAATGTACTGCAAACTCTGATCAAGGCAGAGGGAGACAGAATAAGACATCCGCTAACTAATCAAGCCTGCCCGTGTGCTGCAATACGCGGATGACACACTATCGTCCGCGCGGAGAGCAGCGATGTCAGTCACCTGAAGATGTGTCTGGATCACTTTGCTCAAGCGACCGGCCTGAAGATTAACTTCCACAAGAGTACAGTTGTGCCAATGCACATCCAGGCAACGCAAGCTCAAGATATGGTGCAGATTTTGCAGTGCCAGCAAGGTACCTTCCCGCAGACCTACCTTGGACTCCCGCTGTCGAACACCAAGCTGCGAATCTCGGTGTTTGCTTCGCTGATTGCAAAGGTTGACAGATACTTGGCAGGATGGAAAGTGACACTGCTGAGCCCGGCTGGAAGAGTGGTCCTCATCAACGCGGTCCTGGATGGTTTGCCGACCTATGCAATGGGAGCTCTTGCTTTGCAAGTAAGAGTGAAGGAGGCATTGGACGCCAAACATCGAGCATTCCTATGGAACGGCTCAGACAAAACATCAGGAGCCAAATGCCTAGTGGCGTGGGAGAAGGTTTGCAGCATGAAAGAAGACGGGGGCTGGGCATCAAGAGGCTAGATACACAGAATGCATGCCTGCTGCTAAAAGCTTATTCACTGTCTATACCACCCAGGGGACTCTTCCTGGGCAACATGGGCCAGACAATAGATACGGCTAGTGGACCTCCAGGGCGAGATCGCCGGCGACCACTGGGAGGCGTTGAGAGACCTACTTCCAGCATACCGCAACATCTCCTACATCAAACTTGGAGATGGTAAATCATCGTCATTCTGGGTGGACCACTGGCTGCCGTTGGACTCAACCCTTGCTGCAACCTTCCCAGCTCTTCATAGTCACTTCAAAGGTGGAGATATGTCGGTGCACGAAGTGATGAACCGTGGCTTCCTCGTCAATTCGGGGCTAGAATCGGGTGGAGAGCTGAAGACATCCGGATAGTGGAAAACCTATGGTGCACTAAGCCCCACGAAGGAACGCCAAAGAAGGCAGCATCGTCTTTGATCCTTCTCTGCTGCTGGGAACTGTGGAAACGCCGTCATGATCCAGCCTGTTCACTTGTTGGTTTCAGCCAGCCCAAACCAGCCAACCAATAGTGTTTTTCTCTCACAGAAAACCAGCACCAGCCAGCCCAAACCAGCACCAGCACCAACCAGTGAACAGACCCGATGTGGTGTTCCGAAGGCTCCCCCCAGCGTGGACCGACTCGTGATGGCTTGCAAGACCACTGCGCAACTATGGCAATGTCGTATTCCTAGGAACTCTCCTCTACTCTCTAGTTTTTGGAACTCGATTTTTTGGATGTAATCCTTCCTTTTCTTCCTCCTGAATTTGTAATTGGCTCAAGCCGAAACTTGGGCCACGGCCCTCCACCCACCAGATACGTGGTGGGGACTCATCGTCCCCCGTTGTTCTGGCTCAGAAAAAGATCTCTGTCAAATGGAGCATTTTGTTATGCTAAATTTGTCTTTAAAGAATTAGTTATGTAAATAAATTTATGGAATTTGAGTCGGATCTCTGTCAAATGGAGCATTTGTATATGCAAATTTTGTCTTAAAAGAATTGGTTATGTAAATTTATTGGATCCTATGACATTCGCATTCTAATTAATGAACAATGTTTTTCTCTTACAACAAATCTACATAACATAAGCATCAACATAAGCTTAATTTTAGCGAAACTAAGGGCCTGTTTGGAAGGAAGGAATGCAAAACAGAGGAACGAGAGAAAACGGAGGAAAAAGTTAGGAATAAAGTGGTAAAACAGAGGAATGGAAAAACATAGGAAAATATAATAAGAGGTGTTTGGAACGTAGGAATAAAAAACACACTAACGAGGATAAATTAGAACTAATTTGGTAGTTGTATGTGGGCCCTCTTCAATCAGTCTTGCCAAAGTGTGCCAAGCAAAGCCAATCAGCATCCAACGTTGTTGGCCGCTGCCTCGGACTTCCACGGCGGAGACAAAACCAGAGGTAGCAGTGGATTTTTGTTTTCCTGTGAAATGAGCATCTGGCTACAGGATTCTGGAGGAAAGGGTTGATTCCCTTGTTTCAAACAGCAAATTTGGTATCGTTCGAATATGAATTCCTACGCTTTTCCTTTGATTTTCCCGTGCCAAACGGCCCCTAACAGGGCCAAGAAGGTAGCAGTAGCCCTCTTCGAACAAAAAGAAGGTAGTAGTAGCCACCTGTTCGGATTTTGAAATATATATGTATTTTTTTTAAATTACACATAACAACGTAGCTGGCCATGTTGTGCTAGCCCGCGGGCTCAATAGTTAGCCCAGGCACAGTTCTTCTTATCTTAGCTATATAAAAAAGGTAGTATCGTTGATTACCTGGAGGAGCGAGACGAGCGCCGGGATCTCGAAGCCAGAGGCGGCGTACGTGGACTCGACGACGAAGTCTATGGCCGGCCGGCACGCCTCGTGTCTGCACGTGTCGTCCACACACTTCTGATCAGGCGGCACCTTGAGGCGCCCAGTGTACAGGTAGCCAAGAACAGCCACGAGGGCGTCCCGGCCGATGTGGCGGCCGCCGGGGACCATGTCGGCGAGGTTCAGCCGAGCCTTCTCACCGGCGGGGATGGAGGAGAAATACTGAAGGAAGAAGGAGCTCCTGGCGGCGAGGATGCAGCTGTGCGCGCCGACGATGGCGGCGGCGCCGGGTTCGCCGCCCGAGCCTCCGGAGGCGAGAACGATCTCGGTGTCGGCGCGGTTGGGGAACGAAGGGTCTAGGAGACGCTCGAGGTTGGTGCTTAGGCGGTCAAGGCTGACGGCGTCGCCGCCGGTCGGCGCGGCCGCGGCAGCCTGCAGTGGCGAGGAAAAGAAGCTAGTGGTGGAGGCCTCCATTGGTGGCGGCCGGCTGCTGGAGCTATTCATCCAACAATGCTTGCGATTGTGGGAACTACCTCCTACCACTACTAGTATAGAAGCGAAAGGATGGGATCTCGAATCTTTGCCGTGTGCGTTTGCGAGGCTGCGACTGCGGCTACGCAAAGAGCCAAAGAAAAGCCTGCCTTGGCATGGCAGGGGCGTCGTCGGGTCTCGATCGACTGTTGCAATTGTGGACCTGCCTGTCCGGCATCGGGCTCGGGCTCTCCGGGACGGGACCTGAATCCTGAATCCTGATGACGTTTTTGTCTTCGTGGCCTGTGCCCTGTGGGGTCGACGAGACGACTTTGACGACAGACTAGAACGAGGAAAACTTTCGCCGATGTGCTGCTGCTTTTATGCTCGTGTGAATGAGCTGCAGCCGGCCAATTTGCGACGACGCGCGAGCGCTACCATCCTTTGGTTCTAGAGGACGGCGGAAAAGCGATCAGATTCCACCGACCACTGAACCAAGGCGTTCTTTATCACTGCTCAAGACGACCCTCACTGTAAGTTAAGGCCCCGTTCGTTTTTCTTATAATCCGTCTTTTTTAATTTATTTTTTTAACCGGAACTGTATTTTTTTCTCACAACAAATCAGCCGGAACAGTGCTTCGGCTTGTTTTTTCAGCGGAGCGAACGGGGCCTAAGTGTGCCACAAGCGGTGGCGGTGAGTTCATCTCAAAATTGTGCACCCATCCACCATCCTCCTCATGCCCCATTCGGTTAGGGAAATCCTGGCCTGAAATTATTCCTGCTAACAAAATCTTACGTAAAATTAAATAGCAATCCTAGACCGGAATTGTTCCATGGAGTTTTTTTTTTCGCTAAACGAACGGGGGCCTTTATTAGTCCTTACACCGGTGTGCCATTCCTTTGATGCACCCGATCATTCGTTCCTATCTGTATTTTGGCACATCAAATTTCAAGTCTTCAGTCCGGTCCAACTGGTCGGCACGGATTACGCTACCGAACCATCCCCTCCGCTGATGCACATTCTTTTTCGTGGGGTGCGTACTTTCTGGGCCCATGGCGTGAGGCATCTGGGAAAAAACAAATTTGCTTACATCATCATTTGCATGAAATTTTATAAATAGATGCTCTACAAATTAATAAGTACTTAATAAATTCTGATTGCATTGTTGTATTTTTTATAATAAAATTTTCAAAGCAAGATTCATTTAGATAATCTAAACTTTTGTCAAAAAAAATTCCTACGTAGATAGCATATTTTTCTTTTTATTAAGCAATGCAAATTTAGGAAACAAATGTTTCACCGTCACAGGAAGATAAATCAAGAGAGGTTCCAATATAACATGATCAGTGGACATATTTTTTTTTAGACTGAAGGCACTTTGGCCCTGCTTGTATTGAAAGCAAAGGTTTTGCTGGGGTTTCCAGCTTACAATAAACGGCGCATAACTGCGAAGGTCTAGAGAAAGTAAAGGCTGTCCAGATTACACGCAGCAAACATAAAAAGAGCTAAACTGAAGTAGAAACTGGTAGGGGCCTGCCACGCCCACCAACAAAGGGTCTTCATGCACTTCAGTAGCCTTTGATCACCACGCTCGCAATCTCTCCTGTAGCTTCAGTAGAGTGTCCTCCACCTCTTGGTCCTTCGTCTTGAGAATCTTCTTCCACTGCTTCAACAGAGCCAAAACCTTATAAGCAATACCTTTGGGAGATTTGGTAAGTCTGTTATTAAAGACCCAATCATTCCTGGCCTTCCACACAGCCCATGCTACACTGGCTAACACAAAGAAGTAACACTCTTAGAACTCTCAACCCCACCCGCGTTAAGCATATCTTGGCAGCTAGTCATCAAGATAGGCCTCCTATTCCATCTAAGACTAACCCGCACCCCCATACCCAAATCATCTGGGTTATACTACAGTTAAAGAATAGATGGTCTCTGGTCTCCAGGCGCCCACCGTTTTTGCAAAATTCAGAGTGCTTGCTTTTCCTCCTCTTTAGTTGTTCCGCTATCTGTACCCTGTCGTGCCACAACATCCAAAGGAAAACTTTGATCTTCAGTGGAAGCTTAATTTCCCACAAATCTACCATTCTCCCGTCCACCTCTCCAGGATTCACCATAAATCTGTAGAGGATTTGCTTGAAAATTTGCCTGATGGTTCTAGGGCCCAGATGAAGCTATCGTCCTCTTCCGTGATCTGTATCACCTCTAAAGCTTCTTGTAATTCCATTAATTCATCACACTCCTCCTGTCCCAAGTTTCTTCTGCAGTCTAACTCCCAATCCACCTCAAACATTTCTGCAACTGACCAAGTTTGCTGTCTATTGATCCTGTACAGCATAGGGAATCATCAGTGTTCATATTCAGCACACTAAGAGAGCTCATACATCAAACAACAACGACATGTTCATTTTTCTTACATTATTCTCCTCATCAAGAGGCAAAGTAACATGTTCATTGTGCAACAATTTAAATTTGAAAAAAAACTTTGTTGCGGCAACACTCGTCCACTTATCTGGAATAGCCTCAATTTATTTAATCGATCACGCAAATCAACTTGCTAAAATTATTTATGCACCAATCGCACGTACAAGTGGCCTTACCAACACGTATCGCTCAGCATGGCCAGACATTTGTCCGTTTTCTCAAGCGTGTGGTATATGTTCCGTCTGGTAAAAGCTTCGTTGATCCCTTCACAATTGCTTCAAGGCTGACGGCGTCCATGTGCTAGAAGCTAATGGTGGAGGCCTCCATTGGTGGCGGCCGGCTGGATGTAGAAGAGCTATTCATCCAATAATGTTTGCGATTGCGGGAGCTACTACAGTACGTACTCATTTAAGCAAAAGGACGGGATCTTAATGCCTGCGACTGCCATAGTTATCTTGGCTAAGCAAAGAGCCAATTGTGGGCCTGTCTCTGTCGGGCATCGGGCTCAGGCTCTCCAGGATGGGGAGTGATTGAGTGAGTCCTGACGACGTTTATCTTCTTTGGCCTGTGGCCTGTGGGGTCGACGAGACGACTTTTGACGGCCGACAGGAACGGGAAAACTTTAGCCGATGTGCTGCTGCTTTTACGCTCGTGTGTTGTGAATGAGCTGCAGCCGTGCTTACTACTGCCGCGCAATTTGCTACGACGGTCGATCCACCATCCTTTGGTTCTAGAGGACGGCGGAAAAACGATCAGATTCCACCGACCGCTAAACCCCGCCTTCTTTGAGACCAAGAAAAGGCGTTCGCAAGACGATCCTCATGTTAAGTATGCCGGTGCCACAAGCGTTGGTGGTGAGTTCATCTCAAAATTGTGCATCCATCCACCATCCTCCTTGCACCGGTTGACCGGTGTGCTATTCCTTGGATTTGTTTCGCTGAAATTTGGTTTATCTTTGATGTTTATCTTGATTTGTTGTGAGAGAGGAAAGCATTCGTTCATTTGAAAAGTCTTCTTTGAAGTAGTTCAGCTGAACGAGCCATCCGATCTCAAGTTTTCAATCCAATACCGGAGTTTGTGTTAAGTTCGAACATACGAGCCAACACCTCATGTCTCAAATCTGAAATTCGAATTGATGCGGCGCAAAATCTAGGGACGGAGTACTGCCGAACCATCCCTCCGCCACATGCATCAGCTGATGCGTTGATGCACATTCTTTTTTTAAATCAAGCGCGTTTTACTTTTTTGGGCCCATGACATGAGGCATATGGGGAAAAAAACAAATTTGCTTACGTTATCATTTGCATGATTTTTTTAAATGGATGGTTTACAAATTAAGTGTTTAATAAATTTGATTGCATAATGTATTTGTTAGAATAATTTTCTCAAAACAAGCCTCATTTAGATAAACTTTTGTCAAAAACATTTTTCCTACGTAGATAGCATATTTTTATTTTTCTTAAGCAATGCAAATTTAGGAAACGAATGTTTCACCGTCACAAGAAGATAAATCAAGAGAGGTTCCAATATAACATGATCAGTGGACATATTCAGCACACTGAGAGAGCTCATACATGAAACAACGACTTGTTCATTTTCTTACACATTATTCTCTTTTCATGTACATACTGTAAAATATTAGTTTCAACAAGAGGCAAAGTAACATGTTCATTGTGTAACAATTTTTTTTTAAAAAAAACTTTGTAGCAGCAACACTCGCCCACTTATATGGAACAGCCTCAAATTTTTTAATGGTTTGTCTCCCTCACAGGTGACTAACGCTTTGATGAAGTGTCAGTTACCTTCAACCTCCCCCCGCGCTCCTCTCATTCTCGCGTATTCCTCCTCGTGCCTCTTGTCCTCGTGCCCCACTCCCGCTTGCCTCACCAGTAGCCGCACCATCTTTGTCCTCATCTCGCGCCCATTGCTAGCGCTAGGGTTCATGCCGAGTTTGGCGGCTCGGACCTTTAATGAAACCCAAAGGCGCCATGGCCGCCTTTTTGCCCTCCCTGCTCCTTCCGTGGCGAGCTCCATCCATGGAGTTCCCCCACCCCGACCTGGCTCGGCCGCCTCCACCGCCGACAAGGCCTCTAAACCGCCCTGCCACCGTCCGCACCGCCTGGCCGGCCTTCCTCCCCCAAACCCCTTCTCTTCTAAGCCCGCCGGACATTCTCTCAAGCGTGTGGTATATGTTTCGTTTGGTAAAAGCTTCATTGACCCCCTTCACAATTGCTTCATCTATCGTAGCTTTGCACATCACCCTTAAGAATAAACTCATCATTTAGCATTGTTAGCAAGAAAATAGAAGAAGAACACAAAGGATTATGCCTATCAACTACTATGTGTACAGTGGACACACACTCTCACACATCTTATCAAGCTCTTACAAGTTTTTCACCAAAGCAATGCAGTGGACATCATAACCGATGAATGTTCCGTGATACTTGTGAGGGCATCATACCGAGATGGCAAGAGTCGAATCTATATTAAGCAAAAGTATATATCGAAGCTTGTGAGAGATAATATTTAGTAGTAAGGATTAACAATATTTTTCAATTCAGAAAATTGCAAAATTGAA